TCTCTCTCTCCCTCCCTCCCTTTCTCCCTCCATAAACCCAGTACGCTACTGCAGGTTTTTTCTCTAATGGGCCAGTAATTGTAGAAAAATGTACATTATTACATGCGTGCTCAGATGTAAGTGTAGGTTATTTCTCTGATGTGTTGCCTCTTACTTTCATTTATAATGTAGGTGTTCTTACGCCCTCATCGACACAATTTAGATCTTTTGTTTTAGATTGGACTTTCGACTGTGCCTGTTCAGGCCAATATGGGCTGAGGACACAACACCCCAGCAGAAAGACAGGGATATTAAAACATATTCCTCTTTCGGGTATTAAACTCAGGTCTTCTATATGCACTTGTATTATCTATATGTGTTGCAAGTGCAAGGGACTTGTTATCGAGCATTTGTTCATTCTACGGGGAGGTTGTATCCTCCTCCCTCCTCATCCCAGGTTGGCCCTGGCAGACAGGCTCGGAATCCTGGATCCTGAATGATGTAACGCGTGCCGATATAGGGCGTCAAAAATACTTTTTAAAATACCCCAAAGAAACAAACAAAACAAATAAACAAACGAACTGTATACAAATCCAGATCATTGAATTGTTTGCTCTTGTCCTCCTCCCCAGTCGGACTTCCACAGCCCCGCCACCACGTCCCCGCTGCCGTCCCCTCTGTTGCGGAAATGCCGGGAAGAGCTTCCTTTCGGCGGCGCCCCTGGCGGCCTGCGGCGTCTTCAGCGCACCCTGTCCGAGGACACCAAGCAGCGGCGCCGCGAGAGTATGCCGTCCACGCCCACCGCCACGGCCCCGCCCCCTCCGCTGGCGCACAGTAAGTATTTAACGTTTTTAAAAATTATTTATTTGTTTATTTGTTTATTTTTTTTTGGTTAGTGTTTTACGGCGCACTCCGCAGATTGTATTTATTTATTTAGCTCCCCATCCCATACCAGTAAACGCTCTACACAGAATGCTCTAGGCGGTTCACAGTGCAACTTGAAAGAAATACGCTTATAAAGGTGATCACCAGTAGTTCCGACTTCCTTTAGGTTTTTATTTATTTATTTATGTTTTTCTTTCATTAGAGCAATGTGTTGTTGGTCGTCTCCCCCGCCCCTCAGATTGATTAAGTTTTTTTTTTTAAATGAGTGTAACACCCTTTGGTATTTAAACGCGCTTTGTGTCTCCTGA